GGCGCCCACATCGGCCGCCTCATCCGCAAGATCGAGGGCGAGGTCGGGGACTCTTCCTGGCACCTCGTCATCTGCACGGATGGCTACGTCCAAGGCGAGGATGCCCCTGGCGCCGCACATGGGCGGGACCAGCATCCTGGCGCAACAGAGGAGCTCGCTCGGTCGGTGGGCTACGGCTTCTTGGACAGCAAGATGCAGGCCAACTACCTGGCGAACCACTCGGAGCCTTCCCTCGCGGTCCTGGGACTGGGCTACGGCAAGCTCACCCTGAAGGACCTGCAGGAGCCGACGAAAGTGGAGCCGTCGGGGAAGGAGGTCAAGTACAACCGCAAGATCGTCTCTCCGCCGCGGGCGCCCTCCGGCAAGGCGCGCTAATTCGCGGAGCGGCTCAAGGCGGGCTGGCTGAAGGACGAGACGGGCACCTGGGTGAAGGTCAAGAGCGAGGTCCTCTGGACGTCGACGTGTGCCTCGCCCCGCGTGGGGGCCGGCTCGACAACGGCAAGGGGCCCGCCCACCGCGGCGGGCGGGGCCGCGGCGGGGGTTGGGAAAATTGCCAACCCCCGCAGCCGGCCCAACGCAGCGACCACCCTGGAGGTGATGCCAAAGCCGCGGCGTCGCCAACCTGGGATGAAGAAGCCTGGGAAGAAGAAGAGAGCCCAACTCAAGTCTGCCCGCCAACGCGCTCAGGAGGCGACATCACAGCAGTACCCCAACGTGGTGATCGGGCTCACTGGAGTGAAGGCCAAACGGGCGCTGGCGCGGCGACTATGGGAAGCTCACCGCCGCAACAAGACGCTGAAGCTGAGCAGGGATTGAGCCTGGACGAGTCTCTGGTCATCGGCGAGAAGAGCGGCGGCTTCAAGGAGGAGGTCGACGAGCGCCGCGGCCTGGAGGAGTACTACATTGGCGACGACGGCGAGGGCCTCGACATCGCTGGCGAGGGCGACACGGCTGGTGGCGGCGGCTTCCAGACCAAAGGCAAGCGCAAGAAGAAAGGCAAGAAGGACAAGCAGGGCGGCGACAACGGCCTGGGCGAGCAGTCCAAGGCGAAGGTCAAGGCTGTGGGCGGCACGGGCCTCACAGAGAAGCAGGCCTTCATTGAGGAAATCCTGGGCCAGGCGTCGGCGCTGGCGGAGCTTGGTACGCTCGACGCGACGCTCTTCCAGAGGATCATCGGGGACGTCCAGGTTGCAGGGTCGTCGGCTTCTGGTTGACTCCCGTGTCGGGCGTGAAGGTCGTCGATTTGTTACGGCGTTTTTGGCGAATTTGCCCGCTCGTCATCTTCGGCTTCGCCGTAATGGACAAGCAGGGCGTCGAATACCACAAGGTGGAGCTCTGGACAGGTGACCTCACTTGTCCAAAGCTTGGAAGGCCTGAGTGGCCTCGGGGGGGTGTCAGCTTCTGTTGGGGTTCGGCTTCGGTTTCCCCTTCTGGCCGCCCTGGGGCTGGGGGCTCGGTTTTGTTTCGGTTTTCTTTCGCCCCGATGCGAACCTGCGGGGGGCTGGCACCCCCCTGGGGTCGGGGCGCGGCGCGGCCCTGGCGCGCCAGGGGCTCTTGCGCCCGTAGTGGCGAGGCGGGCTTGGCCCGCATTTAGTCAGACCCCCCCTTTCTCCGCCTCCTCCTCCTCTTCCTCCTCCTCGTCCTCCTCCTCCTTCTCCTCCGCCTCCTCCTCCTCCATCCCCATCCTCCTCGTCCTCCTCCTCCTCCTTCTCCTCCTCCGCCACCTCCTCCTCCTCCTCGACTTCCTCCTCTTCCTCCTCCTCCTCCTCCTCCTCCTCCTCCTCCTCCCCTTCGTCCTCCTCCTCCTCCTCCACCTCCTCCTCCTCTTTCTCCGCCTCCTCCTCCTCCTCTTCCTCCTCCTCGTCCTCCTCCTCCTCCTTCTCCTCCGCCTCCTCCTCTCCTCCTTCCCCTCCTCATCCTCCTCCTCCTCCTCCTCCCTCCTCGTCTCGTCCTCCTCCTCCTCCTTCTCCTCTTTCTCCGCCTCCCTCCTCCTCCTCCCCCTCTTCCTCCTCCTCGTCCTCCCCCTCCTTCTCCTCCGCCTCCTCCTCCTCCTTCCCCTCCTCCTCCTCCTCGTCCTCCTCCTCCTCCTCCTCCTCCTCCTCCTCCTCCTCCTCCTCCTCCTCCTCGGGGAGCGCCGGGCCCGAGGGGCGAAAAGCCCCCGCTCCCCGGGGGACGCCGCCAAAGTGCGGTTTCCTTCCCCCAGGGGGGTCGCCAGGTCCCGTGGCCTCCCCCAGGGCGGTGCTGGTTCCCCCCAGCGCTCGCCGCCCTGGGGCGGGACCGGCGGCTCGTCTCTGTCGTGTCGTTCGTCCGTGTCGTGTCTTTCGTGTCGCGTCGTTCGTTTCGTCCCCCTGTCGTGTCGCGTCGTGTCGTGTTGCCGCGGCGGTCGGGTTTGCTGAGCGCACCGCTGGAGGTCCTCAGCAGCCCGACTGCCGCGGCTTGCGCTTCGCGCCGTGGGGTCCTTGGGCGGCCAATGCGCCGCCCAGGGCCCCGCGCGCGGCTCTCTGCTCGAGATGACTCCCGGCAGGCTGGCGTTAGCTGCCGCTCGCCAGCAATGGTCCGTGTTAAAAAAATCCTCCTCCTCCTCCTCCTCCTCCTCCTCTTTCTCCGCCGCCTCCTCCTCCTCCTCTTCCTCCTCCTCGTCCTCCTCATCCTTCTCCTCCGCCTCGCCCTCCTCCTTCCCCTCCTCCTCCTCGCCCTCCTCCTCTTCCTCTTCCTCCCCCTTCTCCTCCTCCCCGTCCCCCTCCTCCTCCTCGATCCGGGTCCCCAGCGTTCGCCCCTCTGTCTGCTCGCATACCTCGGCCCCCGGGGCGCCGCGCCCTCCTTCCGCGGCCACCTCCGCGGCGCGCCCGGCCGCAGCCACCTGGAGGCCGCGTCCTTGCACGCCGCGCTCGCGGCCGCGGAGGTGCGGCGGCAGCGGCGGCTGGAAGGCGATGCCGAGCCTGGTGGGGCCTCCCAGACGTGCTCTCGTCGTTGCAAAAATCCGAACGGAAGTTTTTTGCTTATATTCGGCCTCGTGGGGCCCTCGCCGGGCCTCGGGACCGTCAAAACACGACTCAGGATGAAAAGCCGGTTCTGGGGAAAGGGTCGATGCTTCCAGGGACCCCGGATTGAACAAACTCAGGACGTCGCATGTCTGGCTTCGGATTGGCGTGCAGACGGCCCGTCCAGGGAGTCCCGGCTGGCCTCAGCAGGCCCCCCAAGCAGTCGGGGGCGGCCTCCACACCCCAGCCAGCCCTGGGGCGCGGAGCGCTGCAGGAGCGCCGCTGGAGGCGGCGCCAGGGTGTTGAGACAGCCCCGAGCTATTCGGAGGGCCCGTTGAGACCAGCTGGGCCCATCTGGGGGGGGGGTCTGTGCGCAGCCCGAGGCCTTACCCCCTGAGATCCGACGGTGCCCAAAGATCGAAACATCGTGAAAATCACGAATCACGACTGGAGCGCCGGGCCCCATCTGTCTGCGGCGTGTTTCGAGCCGGATCGACCTGTGTTGGCCCCGGGGCCGTTGGGGCGACGACGGGGGCGAACAGCCCAGGGGAGCGCAATACATGTGCCCACGGGCGCCGATGATCCATGCCTTCGGCGAGGCTCTCGGGCGAATGCGTGTGTAATGCCTCGCCCCCGGGTTACTCGCCCCGACCATCGCCTCCGCGAGGGCCCGAAGCAGGGCGAAGCCGCCCGTTGCGCAAATGCTGCAACGCCCGGGGAGCTCGGGTCGGAGGCGAGCCCGGGAGGAAGGGGCAAGGGGCGGGCCCTTTCGGCAGGCTCGGGAGCCCCCCGGGCCTTCTGAAAAGTTTTTCCTAACCATCCAGTGGTGTTGGGTCCTCGTTTTGAAGAGACGGTCCCCGCGTTTTCCTTCTCTCCTCCTCTTCCCCCTCCCCCTCCACCGTCCGCATGCGTCCCGCACACCCAGTACAGCGTTTCGTGGCCCTCCTCCCCCTCCTCCCTGCGCTTCACCCACCCAGGACAACGCTTCGTGGCCCCATAGGGAGCCCCAGCGAAGGTCCCAGTGCTACCGTCCGCATGCGTCGCGCACACCCGGTACAGCACTTCGTGGCTCTCCTCCCCCTCCTCCCTGCGTTTCACCCACCCCGTACAGCGCTTCGTGGCCCCATAGGGAGCACCTTCGAAGGTCCCAGTGCTACCGTCCGCATCCGCCCCGCACGCCCAGTACAGCGCTTCGTGGCCCCATAGGGAGCTCCACCGAAGGCCCCAGTGCCCCCGTCCGCATGCGTCCCGGAAGCCCAATTTGGCATTTTCACCCACCCACTGCAGCGTTTCGTAGCTTTATAGGGGGCTCCACCCAAGGCCCCAGTGCCACCGTCCGTATGCGTCCGGGAAATGTAATTTGGCATTTTCACCCGCGCCGTGCAGCGTTTCGTGGCCCCATAGGGGGCTCCACCGAAGACCCCAGTGGGACCGTCCGCATGCGTCCCGGAAACTCAATTTGGCATTTTCACTCTCTCAGTAGAGCACTTCGTGGCCCCATAAGGAGCTCCACCGAAGCCCTCAGTGGGACCGTCCGCATGCGTCCCGGAAACCCAATTCGGCACACCACCCACACAGTGCAGCGTTCCCCCCGCCCAGTGCAGCGCTTCGTGGCCCCATAGGGAGCTCCACCGAAGCAGATATTCACAATTACGGTACCCACAACTGCATATGGTTGGGACCTTCGCCAGGATAATTTTTTGAGCCAAGACGCAGGAAAAAACCTCTCAGAAGGCGCGAGGGCGTCTCAGAAGTCCACCGCCGCCTCCTGAGAAGGCCTTCTCCTTCTCACCACTTCCCCCCCCGCCCGCTCGCCGCCGATCAGGGCCCGCCGATCCTGCGTGCGCGGGCCTCGAGCGCGCGTGCGGCGCCGCGGCGCTGGGCGAGGCTGCGGAGGCGCACCTGCTGGAGACGGCCGCGGCCCTGCGGCGCGCAGCCCTCCGGCCGGCCGAGGCCCGCGGGGAGGCCGGCGCGCTCGTGGGCCCGCTGGCCGCCACGGGCTGGCCGGCGCTGGGTCTCATGGCCGAGGTGCTGACCGAGGTTCGGAGGGGGGGGGCTCCTCCTCCTCCTCCTCCTCCTGCTCCTCCTCCTCCTGCTCCTGCTCCTCCTCCTCCTCCTCCTCCCCCTCCTCCTCCTCCTCCTCCTCCTCCTTCTCCTCCTCCTCCTCCTCCTCCTCCTCCTCCTCCTCCCCTCCCTCCTCCTCCTCTCCTCCTCCTCCTCCCCCTCCCCCTCCTCCTCCTCCTCCTCCTCCTCCTCCTCCTCCTCCTCCTCCTCCTCCTCCTCCTGCTCCTGCTCCTCGTTCTCGTCCTCGTCGTCCTCCTTATCCTCCTCCTCCTCATCCTCCCATCCTCCTCCTCTCCCTCCTCCTCCTCCTCCTCCTCACCCTCCTCCTCATCCTCCCCCTTCTCCTCCTTCTCTCCCTTCTCCTCCTTCTCCTTCTCCTCCTCATCCTTTTCATCCTCGTCCTCCTCATATTTCTCGTCTTCCTTCTCATGCGCGTCCTCGTCCTCCTCCTCGTCCACCTCCTCCTCCTTCTCCTCCTCCTCCTCCTCCTCCTCTTCTTACTGGGGGCTCGCGGGCACCAAGGTTGAACTCCAGGTTCGTCGTCTCCGTCTCTATCAGAGCTGGTCAGCGGACCCCCAGGGGGCCTCTCAGATTCTCGTCTGGTTGTTCGGGAAGTTGGACGTTGACAAGTTTTACCCACCTTGTCCTAGAGGCACGTTGACGCAGTGGGCCTCACCGTGAGCCCGACAAATGGTTGCTGATCTCCAGAATGCGGCTCTTCTCTTGTATGAGCAGTGCGTAGAGGACGTAGCTAAGGACTTGACGATCTTGGCCGATGCTGAGCGGAGCGCAGAGTTTCGGATGATTGGCATGGCACAACTCCGTGCCAGGGTATTTGCAGCAGCGATCCCACGTCCAGGTACGACTGGCTGGAACCAAGGTACGGCGCGCAATCCTCCGTCTGGCCTTGAAGAGGGTCAAAGTATTTGTTGCAACGTTCTAGGATATGAATAAACATTTCATACTCGGCAGCAGATGTTGAGTCATCTTAGGTTCGCCCACTTCCAGAGGAACCTCGCGGCCGTACTGACCCCGACGAATGTATGCATGTGGTGCCGTTCGGTGTTCCGTGATCGATGGACAGCTGACAGACATTTGCAGACGGCGATGTTGAGTGGCAGTTGTCCACTGGGAGGTGGCCTATCGCTTCGACCAATTGACCAACGTCCTACGTGTGAGTGCAGAAGCTATAACGCAGCCCAGGCCGACCTGGACGGATGATGTCGCCATGTGGTTCAACATCATTTGTCGATTCAAGTCTCTATTGCCAAGGCAGACTGATCAGTTCGTGTGGGCGGCGACGCAGGAGGGCGATTTACCCCTTCCAGCGTGGTTCAAGAGCAAGAAGCGGCGCGCCGAGGGCGAGCCAGTCGGCGGTGACGCCGCAGGTGCGAGTTGTGGCAACACCAGGGACGCCAAAGGCAAGCCTGCGGGCGCAGGAAGAGGTGCCAAGACCAACAGCAAACTGACGAACGCGATGAGCCGCCTCCTCATCACCCTCGACAGGGACGTAGAGGAGCTCAAGTCCGCGGTCTACGAGCGGGCGTCGACGGTCGCGAAGAACCCCCTGATGGAGGGCGCCGTCCGCGCACGCAAAGAGCACAACGACACCAGCAAGGAGATGAAGAAGGCCGAGGCCGAAGGCGAGGAGCAGGACTGGCGCGGGAGGGGGAGTCCTCATTTGCACATCCTCATGACGTTCATGGTGACAGGAGTGACGCTTCTACGGGCTTCCACGGGGGCGGACTTCAAGGAGGTCGAGGCGCACGCGGTCAAGAGACTCCAGGAGATCCAGGGCTTGCCTCTTCGTCAGCTTGGCCTCATGGTGCGCGTGTTCCGCGTCCGCGTGCACAAAGCCATGGAGGGCCAGGACCAGACGGCACACTTCGAGTGGGCGATCGGCACGAAGAGCAAGGCAGGCCAGAATTTGCACGAGCTGATCCTTCGCATCTTCGAGCTACAGGGTGCAGAGAGGACATCGGGATCGGCGCCGCGGGGCCCGATGGCGCGGGAGATCCAGGGCCTCACCAGCGGGAAGAAGTGAGGCCGCTGCGGCTGCATAGGCACCAGGCGCTTCTGAGCAGTGCGCGCCTCGCTGACCTCCTGAATCGAGGCATCGTTTCTCCTGAGGCGGCGCAACGCGCCACCATCGGGACGGTGCAGACGTACTCCCATTCTTCTCTGCCTCCGATCCCTGTCTGTACCTTGCCTCCTGCTTGCCCTCGTCCGAGATCCCGCCCACCTCCGACTTCGAAAAGCGGTGCCAAGGGCTCACGCCCTACGGGCGGCGCCCCATAGGGGATGCGTGCCCCTCCGGTTACTGCCTGGGCCCGTGCCCGAGTGCGCGGTTGGCCCCATAGCATGCGATGTGATAGCCGATTGCGACCTTCTCAGAATCCTAGTGAGAATCAGTTTCTGCCGAGCGCATTCGAGGCGGTAGATTGTCTGTGATCACCTGCGGGATTCCCCGAGCTTGCCTTGCCTCGCCTCCTCCTCCTCCTGCTCCTCCTCCTGCTCCTGCTCCTCCTCCTCCTCCTCCTCTTCCTCCTCCTCCTCCTCCTCCTCCTCCTCCCCCTCATCCGCATCCTCATCCTCAACCTCATCCTCCTGCTCCTGCTCCTCCTCCTGCTCCTGCTCCTGCTCCTCCTCGTCCTCGTCCTCATCCTGCTTCTCTTCCCCCTCCTCTTCCTGCTCCTCCTCGTCGTCCTCCTCCTCGTCCTCATCTTTCTCCTTCACGACTAATTACACGTAAGAGTGATTCTTCGCCAGAGTGACCTTTGGGGCTCATGGGCCTCGCGTCATAGGGGGCGATAAGTCAGCGGCATCGAGGGCTGCATCCCACTGATCGCCCCCATCCATGAATCCGCACCCCAAGCTTATCGGGGTCCCCCCGATCGCTGAGCGCGATGCGTTAGCGACTGTTTGCGTGCTTGCATTTGGCCACCTTGCGCCCCCGTTTTCCGCGCACCGAAGCTCATTCTTGCCCACTCCCCTTCCGCAGTCGACACGGAGGTTTTCATAGTTTTCGGCGTCCGTGGACCTTCGCCCGACCCCGGGACGGTCAACAAATTATTCCGAATGAAAAACTGGCCGGGTCGGGACTGATGAGGACACCGTTTTGATAAAAACAAGCCATTGCATCTCTGGGAACGCCGCTACACTTCCCTCGCTTGGGTCTTGGAGCCTCCTGGGAAGCCCCCCAGATGGTGTCCGAGTAGATGGTGTCCAAGGATCGCCCCGCACCGACGATCCATCGACGATGCGGCCCGATGCGGAGCCAGAGCTTTTCCACGCCCATGGCCGATGCATTGGCGATGCGTCACGATCCCCCGGCCCCATGTATTCGGACCCTATCTAGGAGGCCTCTAGAGGAGGATACCGATACCGAGATTGTTGATTTATCTTCTGTTGCGTAATTGTCGTTGCGCGGACTGAACCCCCCTCCCTCCCCCCCGGGAAGCGGTGACGATGGTACGTACGGGGGGTGGGCTGGACCCCCCCACATGCTGACGCTCGCGCGCGTACTTAAGTGATCGCAGCGCACCCCCGCACTGACGTGTCCCACCCCGCCCAAGCGTTACCGGTAACCGGCGCCCCCCCTTGTAACAACCGTCACCCGACGTACAAAAATAAATGCACCTCAACGCTACCCTACCCTTCCGTCGTCGCCACGGCTGGATTCGCCTTGAAATCCTGATCAGAACGACCCTGGGAGGTCTGTGGAGCAACAGTATCCGTACCTCTGTCCCCCAAGAGGCACTGCGTGGCGAGGCGGAGGACCGCATGCTCGGGCTCGCAGGTGGTGCAGCCGCACCAGTCACATGCGGGTGCGACCTGAGGACCTGGCGCTCCTCCTCGGCACGAGCTGCCGCCGCGTCCGTGCGTCTGCTGCGGGCTCTCGACGCCGTGAGGGGCGACGCGGCTGGGATCTTCGCCGCAGCCCGTTCCGAGGACGCTGCGATGGCTTGCCCAGTTTCGTTCAAGGACCTTGCCGGTGGGGACCCTCGCGGTGGTGCGATTCAAGATTTCTCGGCGGTGACCCTCGCTTACCACCTGGTGCAGGAGCAGCTCGACATGGCGCAGCAGAGCACCACGCGCGACTCGGACGAGCACGGAGCCGACGCGTGCGTGCCTGGGGCGCTGGCCATCTGCCTCGCGTGCATCGTCGTGGTGATCGAGAGGCGCATGTGGCACTGGGCCGCGGGGCTCTACCAGATTGCGCAGGCGCTGCTGCTCGGCACCGCGGAGTGCGCGGGGCCCTTCGCCGGGCCGGCGAACGGCACGGTCCAGGGGGCCACTTGGGAGCCACTGGCGGTGTGGCAGCGGGATCCGTCGGCCTTCCTCGTCGACATAATGGCTCCTTTCGTCGAGAGCGACCTGTGGTGGCGCGGACGGCAGCCGGTCGAAGACCCTTTGGCGCACGCGCAGAATGAATCGTTGAGCCGATGTGCCGGGCTGTCCGATGGGCGCCAGGATCGGC